TGCGGGCCCATGGAAGTTTTCAAGTAAGTAGCTAACTCAGGAGCCAGGAAAGCTAGAAAGCTGAAACTTTAAGAGGGTGTTTCCTGCCACTGCTGGCGACCAGTCTTAATTTGTTTAGCTAGAAGCATTTGCCGAAAAAAACCGATACCGGCAGCGACAAAAACTGCAGGAAACTATGCAAAAAACGCATCTTCGCACAGGCAGCCCGTGCGCTGGCCAGTTATTGTAGTGATTGTATGGGAGCAAAAATTTTGTTGGATAATTCGTTGTTTGAGCCACTTTTCAACATCAAGCCCTTAGTTTTGCGGGAAAATTTGCGAGATAGATTCTTTTTTTTTTCAGATTTTTCAATGGCGTCAGCAGTGGAAGCGAATCGAACAACAGCGGAGCAATCAGTGTTACTGAGCTCAGCCGGCACCAAAGACGCACTGGAACGGGAAATTTTGGCCGTTGAGCGTCGCATTACTGAAGGTAAAACGAATTGATGCCCCGAACTGGTAGATTTAATGAAATGGAAGCTATCGCCATAGTTTCTAGGCCTAAGCTTGAACTTTTGGTTTCCCTGGCATCGAAATGACCGGTTCTTCTTGAGTTGTTTCGATGGAAAAAAGTGCTGTTTCATGCAAAAAGTCAAAACTGACGTCTTTATGTGTTTTGTGCTGTGTAACAGCGTTACAAAACGCATATTGTCACGGGGTTGTTTGTGTGTGTGTGCGTGTGTGTGTGTGTGTGTGTATCCCACATTTTGTCTCGCGCTTTCAACTCGGGAACCACAAAATCTAGACGGCTGAAATTTCGGTATAGTGTTCTCCCCCAACGGATGACGCGGCAAATTTAAATTCAGCCTTCCCGTATCCGCGGGTAACAGGTGCAACCCCGTGAAAGTGTTTTACGGGTAAATTAATATCTCAGGAACCACGGAGTCTAGGAGGCGTAATTTTAGGGTAAAGATTCTCTGCCAACGCTCAAACTTGCCTATTCAAATTCAGCGTTCCCTCGCTATTGAGTATTACCTACGGCCTCGTGAGAATTTTGGCGTTTAAACTATTAACTCGGGAATCACGGGAAGATATTCGCCCTTCAAGGTTTCGAATTCAGCATTCATGCGCTGGTGCGTGAAATTTTTAATTATTTTCCAATTTTTGAACTATTTTTGCATAGACTAAAGTACAAAGCAGTGAAAATCACTAACAGGCAATCGTTCGATGGGCTGAATTGCATAAAACGCATGATCGCACCGGCTAGTCTGGTGCGCGTTGCTATTTGTTTCATCTATGCAATGCAAAAACGAGGTCAGCTTGAAAACTATAAAAGATGCAGGACTGAAACTTTGGGAAGTTAATTTATTTACACATACGGGCTCCCATTCCCAAGATGAGTGCTGTTACTCACGTGGTTCTCATGTACGGGTTCGCCAAAGTTTTTGACAAGCAAGCTGCTAATTCGGTAGCCAGAAAAGCTTGAAAGCTGAAATTTTAAGGGGATGTGTTTCGACAGTCTTGGCAACCAGTCTTCAGTTCTCTAAGCTAGAAGCAGCTGCCGGAAAAAACAGTGCCATTAGCGAAAAAAGCCTGCGGGGAACTATGCAAAAAACCCATCTTCGCACCGGCAGTTGGTGCGCTGGCCAATTTTTTTGTTTCTAAGGAAAACTGAAAATGGAGACCATCAAAAAAAAACACCAAAGGTCAGCTGCTATTAATACGTGCAATCATTTAGGGCACCAGCAAAAAAAAAGAGTTATAAAGAGGCTCTGTTTTTTCCACTTAAGTTTTATGACTTTGTTGATAAAAATTCGCTGAGAATGTGGGCATTGTGCCGAGGATGAGACAAAATATAACTTCTGTTGTCCCACCGCATTTGTGTTTCTTTTCGCTACTGATGCAGCTGTTTGTCTTGCCGTCCTCCGTTTTGGGCTTCTTTTTATACATACTTTTCTATGTAAGTGTCTAACTGGGGTGTTTTCCACACCATGCTGTCTTTTTTCTTTATTCTTTAAACTTTACATGTATGCCATGCAGTGGTTGACTTTGCCCATCTGTTGTCTCTCATTCTTGTCATAAGACTGGCGCAGTTCTTTTTAAGGTTTTGGAGAAAATATGAACAAAAGATGAAAGGGTTGTAAAGAATTATTAAAGTGGTGAGAAATGTTTGGGTCCATTAAGTCGTATACATTTCTTACCGTTGCCGCAGTTGGACCTCGTCAGTACGACAACTGTGGTAACAGTATAATTTAATAAGGTGTAAGAATTATTTCAGATGAAAGAGTTGTAAATCGGAAGAAATGAAAAGGGTAGAAAAATTGGAAGACCTTAAAGAGGTAGAAGAAATGGTAGGAATAGAAAAGATGTAATGTTATTAAGTAGTAAAATCTAATATATTACCTGTTCATTACTCGTTATTTCCATCACTCGTTTGTGTTAATTATAAAAACAACACAAACAACTGATGGAAATAACTTTCTCAAACAACTTTCTCTTGGCAAACACTGCCTTGATAATATCACTCACAACAAATTCGAGAAGTGCTGCAACTTGCTGACACCTACCGTTCGTCCTCATGCAACTGGTTAAGTCTCTGGGAGACTTTTTTTTGTCGGTAACGGGTTGGAGCAAATTTTTGAAACTCGACTATCAAAAAAAGAAAATCGAAATAGTAATTTTACAGCAATATTTGTTTTAGTCCATTAGTAACCGTTTGGTAGACATATAAGCAGGTTCTGGTAACATCACCAGCATATATAGGCGGATTCAGGGCATTCCTC